TTGTGATGACAAAGCTCATTTTTCAACAGCTCATCTTATGCGTCATATGATCTTCAGAAGTTATTCCAACATGCTGATTTGGTGCTCATGAAACGTTTCTTCTTAATGTTATCAATGTTGAAAGCAGTTGTGCTGCTTGATATTTTTATGAAAACCGTGATGCCTTTTTTTCAGGATTCTTTGATTAATAAAACCTTCAAATGAACAGCTTTTAATTGAAAGTTTGTGTAACAATATAAATATCAAAAATCGAAATCAATTTAACGCATCCTTGCTGAAAGTATGCATTAATTTTCAAAACAAAAAAAAGACAGCAGTGTATATTTAGGATAAAGTAAATATTTGAAGATTGAATTATATAAAATGAATTATGAATTATTAAATGATCAGATCCAAGAAAAAAAAACATTAGACACTTTTATACACGAATGATACTCAAGTTAGCTATTTACTATGTCCATTTCTTCACTCCACAGGGCCTGTTTGGAGAAAAGGTTTGGAACAAACATTTAAATACAGGGTTAAACACACATTGTTCTCTTATCTAGTTTACTTTTGCAGTTAATATTTGTTGATAATGAAATGTGATTTATTCAGGGTTTAAAAGGATATCCAGGACTTACTGGTCCAAAAGGAAAGAGAGGACCTCCTGTGAGTTTGACACTAAGTGATATATATAAAACATGAGTCATGACATTAAAGGGGTCATATGATGTTTCTAAAAAGAACATTATTTTGTGTATTTGGTGTAATAAAATGTTTATGGGGTTTAAGGTTCAAATAACACATTATTTTCCACATACTGTACATTATTGTTTCTCCTCTATGCCCCGCCTTTCTGAAACGCGTCGATTTTTACAAAGCTCATCGGTCTGAAAAGCAAGGTGTGCTGTGATTGGCCAGCTATCCAGTGCGTTATGATTGGCCGAATACCTCAAACGTGTGACGGAAATGTTACGCCCCTACCATACTGTGATGATGCTCTGTCAGGCCGGATTGATGATTCAAAAACATGAAAACCCATTATAAACGAGGCATTCGTTGGGCGGCGTTATGTAAATCTTCCCACATCGTGACGTAGACATGTGGGTGCGTGTTAGAACGAGCCGTTTTAGGTTAAGACTCTTAACTTTTATAAAGAATATCTCTTTGGATTTGAGACTTAATCTTTGCAACTTTACAGATCTTCTTTATGCACCAAGAGCTTGTAACACTCCAAAGAGAAAGGAAAAATTGAAATCGCATCATATGATCCCTTTAATGTATGAGCTGTAGTAACTGTAACTGTGTTTATTTTAGGGTCCACCAGGTCTTCCAGGTCCACCGGGCTTATCTCTGAACCTAACACTGACTCAGCTAAAAGTAAGCAGCTGTTAAGTGATTTTAGGATTTCAAATGTTTTTGCTCAGAATCCATTCATTGTATAACATAACATATTTAATCAGGTGTTAACTTAATTGCTGTGTGACAATGCTTTTTGTATTTTCCACACAAATTAGGACCTCATGTACCTCTCCGACAAGTCCAACTATCCACTTATTAAGACCCTGCTAGACTCCCTTCAGCAAGACCTGCGATTCTTCATAGATCCTCCAGATGGCACTAAGGAGCATTCAGCCACCACCTGCTTAGAGTTGATGCTCAGTCATCCTAACTTAAGCAGTGGTCAGAGTCATTCTCATGAATGTTATTGTTCATTTGTGGACCTAAATGTATTATTCTGGTCTGTGCGAATAACTATACTTAATAATTTTATTTAACTGTTGTTGTCTCAGGAATGTATTATATCGACCCAAATCAGGGCAGTCCTGCTGATGCTTTGCTGGTATATTGTAACTTCAGTGCAGGTGGACAAACATGTTTGCCACCCCTGCAGCCACAGGTAAGTACATTTTTCCTCGGCATCTGATGGGGTCGTCATATGTGGAGAAAAAAAATTGACGTGATAAAATAGCTTAAATACACACTGAAACTTTCAGTATTCAAATCTCACTACTGTTTAAAAGTTTGGAGTAGGTGAGATTGTTTTTGAATGTTTTTGAAAGAAATCTCTTATGCTCAGCAAGGCTGCATTTTCTTCATCAAAGATGTAGTAAAAACAGTAATATTGTGAAATATTATTACAATTTTAAATAAGTGTTGTCTATATTACTATATATAAAAATATCATTTATTTTTGTGATGGCAAAGCTGAATTTTTATCTTCAGTGTCACATGCAATTCGGTGCTCAAGAAACATCTTCTGATTATCAGTGTTAAAAACAGTTTTGCTGCTTAATATTTTTGTGGAAACTGATTCCTTTTTTTCAGGATCTATTGATGAATATAAAGTTCTAAAGAACAGCGTTTATTTAAAATAGAAAACCTGTACTGTCTTTACTGTCACTTTTGATCAATTTAATGCATCCTTGTTGATTTAAAAGTATTAATTTCTTTAAAAAATAAAATAAAATCTTACTGACTCCACATTTTAAGCTTTGTGTTTAGTGAATATTAATCTGATAATGAGACGCCTCTCTGCTTCAGATCCCCATGAAATCTTGGCTCAAAGACACCATGCCAGACTCATTTACATGGTTGAGCGCTATAGATGGTGGCTTTCAGGTATGTTGTTGCTCAGAACCCACTAAATCCTGCCATCATGTATTTCCCATTTGAGAAAATCATTGTGTCTTTATAGTTCGATTACATGGAAACTGGTGTGGTACAAATGAGATTCCTACGACTCAACAGCAAGTTTGTGAAGCAGAACATCACATTTTCATGCCAGCCAAACAGCCACCAGGGCTCCAATGAAAGAGACATTAAGTTCCTTGCAGATTCAAGAAGACAGAGCTTCTTGGGAACATTACTGGATTGTGAAGTAAGATAACCGTATCTAAATGATTGGATTATTGCATTGTTGTTCGTTTAATTTTATTATGTCCCCTTTCTGTCTGTGTTTAGCCTGTAGGGTCACCGGATACAGGCCCTCGGGAGTCTGTGTTCCAGTTTGAGACTGAAGACCTGGAGCTTTTACCAATCAGAGATCTGGCTTTATTTGGCCACAGTGACACAACAGAACAGTTTGAGTTTACTGTAGGACAAGTCTGCTTCAGCTAAAACACACAAACACATTTGAGGACTTGCTGAACTGTTGTGCAGAGCCCTTACTGAGTAGCTCTCTGCTGAGACAAGAACGATAAGCAAAAATCAGGACTTTCTTTACTCTACTGTTCTCCCTCTGCTGTGGGAATGGAGGTTCCTAATGAAGTTTTCACCTTCAGTTTAAAGTGTACCTTCCGTACAATAAACTGATTTATTGTCTAGTGGCAACTGCAATCCGCTGCGCAGCTTCTCATGAGGAGATGTAATATATTGTTGTATATTGTTTACAATGCTTGTTTTCTGTTAAGTAACTGATTATTTATGTAATGTCAGGATGTTACTCGTCATATTTTAAGAGTAGTTCACTTCCACAAACCATGATTTCCTCAAAAAAAAAAAAAAAAACTTTAATTCAGGTTTTGTTGCACCTTATGACAAAGAGCACTGTGATATACACTACATGGCCAAAAGTATCTGAACATTTTAACACCACATGTTCTTGATGAACGTTTAATTTTAAAACCTTTGGCATTAATGGGTAGTTTATCCACTCTATACTGCTGTAACAGCTTCTGTTCTTCTTGGAAGGCTTTTAAACATATGCAGAGATTTGCTGTCACATTTGGCCATGTGGTGTATGTGGCACTCAGATCTGATACTATTTAAACAATGTGCCTCAAACATACAATATATGAGGCACTGCTTGTGAAGACTAATAACATGAATTAATTAGTACAAAGAATATTTTGGTCAGACAGTTGCTGTTGGACCATTGTTTATGGTGGATCCAGTGGAATTTACTATACATTAATTAACACATTATGATGACCATTTCTGAACAATACATTGTTGTTCTTGTGTGCAAATTGCAAAAAGAGCCCCATTAAAAAGAATGACAATTTAGCTCATTGTAAAAGTAGCTCATTGCAATCTGTTTTAATAACAAACTGATTTTATTCAAAAGAGTGTGTTTTTATTGTTGGGTATATTATGGTTGCCTTAGTAAAAACCAAAGGAAACCAGAACAAGTCCTCAAGGGTTTGTGTTATTTCAGGTTACTGTATGAATTTAAAATGCCTTCAGCATGAATTATAATAACAGCAAGGAATTTTTTGAGTTTTTTTAAGTTGGGAAGTGCAAGTTAATATCTGCAGGAATCAGGACACTTAATGGTAAAACCCAAGTATTGTAAATGTTACTTTGCCAAGGAAAAACCCAGATAAAAACATAAAACCCCATATAAATATCTAAATGGCTAAATATAAAAATATGAGATAATTATATACATTACCGTTCAAAACTTGATCTGTAAGATTTTTGGCTTTGAAAGAAGTCTCTTATTGGTACTCATCAAGGCAGCATTTATTTGATTAAAAATGTATTAAATTTTATTACAATAAAAAACTTAATGTAATTTTTTTACTGTGATGGCAAAGCTGAATTTTAAGTCTTCGGCATCACATAATCCTTCAGAAATATTTTGAATATGCTTTTTGGTGCTCAAGAAACATTTCTTATCACTGTTGACATTGTGCTGCTCAATATTTTTGTGGAAATAACCGTGAAATTTTTTTCTGGATTATTACAATAAACAATGTAACTATATCAAACTCACTTTTGATCAACTGATCAATTTAATCCATTTTTGCAGTATAAAAGTATTAATTTATTTTTATTTTTTTTACAAAAGAAATCTAATATTTAAAATGGCTAAGCGCGTTTTTGTCAACCACGGTCTTTTATTATACTCCAATTATAATTTCAGTGCAGAACTGTGTAGTATAAACCTGTAGGCTTGTGCGGTGAATAACAGATGGACCAAACAATGAGTTTTTAGGTTTCTCTTTCTGATTGGTCCCAGTTTGTGGCGTGCCTGGCGCCCTCTGGAGGATTATTTGGAAAAGCCACAAGTTGCTGCTAGTGTACTGTACAACAACAGCTGGCTTGTCTTCGTCTCCAGGAAATCACTTGAAACCTGTTCCGAAAAAAAATGGCTGCAATATGCTACATTTAAACCTTTAGGATTTTCAGACGCGTCGCTTGGAAAGTCGCATGGTGTTCGGCACAGTTGAAGAGTCGAATGGGATTTTTGTGAGTGTGAGTGATCGCTGGTGAGCTCTAGGCCCTTCAGTGATGCCTCGGACCGTCGTGAGATCCTGAGCCGATCAGAGCTCCGCTTCACACAGCTGGACGCTCGATGTAACGTTACTCCAGGAAGAGAGGTGAATGACTTATTGATGTCCGCTTAATCCTGCGTGAACTTTAACGTCAGAGAAAAGTAACCCAGTGTGAGTTTTATTATTTACTAAATGGAGAAACTGGTCGGTTTTTGTACTAAATAAAATGTAAATAGTTTTAAGGGTTCTTTAATAATGTAAATAAATCAGTTGCAGTCAATCTTTTAGTCAGTGAGAAAGCGTTGTCTGACAGTTGACACTTGGTCGATCGGGTTGGCAACCGAGAACTGAATAGAAACAATTATTCGTTTATTTAATTTTACAATATACCGAAGCCAAATTATTTTCTTCATATTCGTTTTCTCTGCCGCTGTGGAGGGACACCATACTAAAATACTCAGACTTTGTTTTCTGAGCTAATTATTCGCGTGCTGAAGTGGGAACGCATGACTCTTATGAATCGGTTCTTTTAAATGAATCAACAGTCGAAGTGGTTGTGGAATAAATAATGAATCGTTCAACGATTTAAATGTTATTCTTGTTTGTTTAGGATTTTTTTTTATCATGATATATAGTTAGATAATTGGATTGGTTAGACGATAACTTATCTCTTTTGATGTCAATTATTAACAGGGTCTCATCAGTTGACGAGCTGCAGCTTTAGACTTAATCTGTGAAATAAACTTTTAAAATGTATTTTTATGTTAGTCAAAATACATCATCATTTCTTTATGCCGTCGACGCCTTTAAACTGCAAATTGAAAACATAAAAAAACGTTTCTCTGTGTCTGTGTTGTCAGTACTGTATGTGCCAGCCAGCTGCCCACGCAGCTACTGTCAGGACTGACGGTGTCTTAACGCCTAGTGAACTGCCTAACTAGACAGCACTTTTCAACATCATAGTCAACCCAGAAATGTTGTACAGGTAGGCAGCTCTGTAGGTTTTTAGACAAAGTTTGTTCTCTCTCTGTGTACACAGAAACCTGGCCACTGAGTTTATAAACAGTCTGGAGAGAGACAGTGAATCATGCTGCCTCCATCAAGAAGGGATTTTGTATCTCTGACTCTCAGCGAAAGTGGCAGCTACACCAACAGCAAGCAGTGGCGCCGGCAGTCCTGCTGGAGGGTGAGTTAATTTGTTAACTTTGTGGTTTTATCCAGTAGTTTCGAGGCCCATCTGTAGGGTAATCTGATTGTTTTGCCCAATAATTGATTACAAAAATGTGATAATCTTGACTTTGTCTCCAGAAATGGAAACAGCTGTCCAGATTGCAGCGCAGCTTGATCCTGTTTACACTCATGCTGTTGTTGGTTTGTGGAATTGCCACATCTCCCACTCTCATAGGGCACTGGAGAGGTGAGATGCTACAAAAAAACAATTGAAAATGAGCTTCCAAATTGTCTTGTTGAAAAATAAAAATTAGAGTAATGCATAAAAAATGATAATATGGCCCCTTTAAAGTTGGGATGTAACGGAAGTAGAATAGAGCTTTTCTGATGCACATCCAATTGAAACAGTTGTTGGTTAGAATGAAGCAGATCTGAATGTGAGCTTTCAGGTATTTGAAATAAAGGCAGAGAGAAGTATGTTGTTTCACCCAAAAATACAGTTATAAAAATAGATTTTGATAAAAAATTACAAGGTCAAAAAAAAAAAAATTCAGATCAGTAACATGTTTACAAAACAGACTCATGCCTTCAGACTCATTATACCTTCTCTGTGTTTATGTTTCTCAGATGGTGTGGTAGGGGAGAACGGGTACGATGGAAAACAGCCATTTGTTGTCAACCTGAAAAATGAGTACAAGTCCATTCTTCCTGATCCGCCCTCTGAGGTTAGCCTGACCTATTTGTTTCTTGCTTTCTTTTTGGATGGCCTCTTTTTATGAGTAACCTGATAACTCAAGGTTACAGGCTGTGCTTTTTGCTGCTATTTGAGGTTCGTGGCAGTAACGTATGTTTTCTTCTGAAAAACAGAAAAAGGACTACCGTAGACGTGGACCTCCTGTCTTGCAGAACCGTTTGCAAACCAAAACAAATGTTTCGGGTCTGTTGGGAGTAGAAAATCAGGGACTGGACCTGAAGAATGAAAATAAAGGATCTGAAGGAGGAAAGCCAATCATTAGGTTTGATGTTTAATGTCAACTGTAGTGAAATACCTTATAAATACAAATGTGCATTTTGTGTGATGATGAGCTTGGCTAGTATAGAGGACTTCATAATCTTATGGTTTGTTTATTATTATTATTTATTTCTCACGTGTGTAGTTGGCGTGGAGCTGTGATAGAAGAAGAACAGGCATCTGATACTGACACCAAAGACACAGACATCCAAGACGACCCAGCTTCATTAGCACATGGTTTGTTATTTTGTCAGCTACACTCCTTTGATATTGAACAGGAAAAGAGCCAGTTGCTCAGTCTATTAATACTTTCTAAATATAAACCCATTTTATGCTGCTGATCTGCCAAATTCATTTGTTTCTTTTTATGGATTGCACTGAAGCAGATGTTTCCTGTGTTTCTGTTTCTTTTAGCTGAGAGCAGGCTGGAGGCTGTGAGGGAAGCTTTTAGACATGCCTGGAAGGGTTACAAGAACTTTGCTTGGGGTCACGATGAGCTAAAACCAATCTCTAATTCATATGGAGAGTGGTTTGGACTTGGGCTGACCCTAATTGATGCTCTGGACACCATGTGGATCTTGGGTCTCAAAGAGGGTAATTTAGTTAGCTAGAGAACATACATTACAGAGTCCAACACAGACCAAGATTTTTATTTTTTTTTCTTGTGGGAAAAAAAATCCAGTCCAAGCCACAAGAAATTATATAACTTTTCATTGTACTCTTCCAAATTTATTAAATTTTTTAGAAAAAGTGTAATATATATAGTTGATATATTTGTCCATTGGTGGACAAAACAGATCAGCCCTAAACTCACAGCCTTGGTTGAACCCACCTTACTATGTCAGGCTGGTTGAGATGTTCAAAGAAACAAAGCAATTCTAGAAGCACAGAACCACCATTTTCACACTTTTCTGGGAAGATGACTTAATAATAGTGATATGTCTTCATGTTAAGAAAAAAATGAAAAATTATCTGCCATTTTTGTTGTTTACTGAGCTGTTTATGGTGTGTAATCTGGTTTACTTGATTTACATAAATCTTGCTGACAGAGTTTGCAGAGGCCAGGGAGTGGGTGGCCAGAGAGCTCTCCTTCAATAAGAACGTGGATGTTAATCTGTTCGAGAGCACCATTCGTATACTGGGTGGCCTTCTGAGTACTTACCATCTGACCGGAGACTCCATGTTCCTGGAGAAAGCTGTGAGTAAGAAGGACATGCTGATGAAAGGGCTGGAGGCTTCAAAGTTTTTCTTTATCCTGTTACTATGTTCTGGTGATCACATGACTGATTTTCAGAAAGATATTGGCTCCAGACTGATGCCTGCCTTCAACACTGCCTCAAAAATCCCCTATTCGGATGTGAATATTGGGAAGGGGACGGCTCATCCTCCGCAGTGGACTTCAGACAGTACCGTAGCTGAGGTCACTAGCATTCAGCTAGAATTCAGAGAGCTCAGTCGACTTACCGGAGACCCCAAATACAAGGTCAAGACAACGGACAGTCTTTCTCAGTTAAGACCCGAACACTCATTTAAGCAATTCTGTTCTCATAGGAACAGGTGGTTACTTTTCTTCCGTTTCTTTCTGTAGCTGGCTGTAATGGAGGTGATGAAGCAGGTGCACAAATTGGATGGAAAGCAAGATGGGTTAGTGCCGATGTTTATCAATACCCACAACGGGCTGTTCACCCATCAGGGCATTTACACACTGGGTGCCAGGGCTGACAGCTACTACGAGTACCTGCTGAAGCAGTGGATACAAGGAGGCAAGACCGAGAACGAGTGAGTAGAGTCTCTATATGTTTGACCTTCAAACAGTTAATACCAAAATTTTAGCTGTGGTTTGATGACATCCTTTAGTGCTAATATTAAATAAAAAATGGGTGACTGTTAAAATTCAACTAAATATATGTATATACAGGTTCAGGTTCAAAGATTTATGTGCTCCCATTTTTTTTTTTCAGATTGCTGGATGACTACCTGCTGGCTGTGGAAGGCGTGAAGAAGAACCTCCTGAAGAAGTCTACTCCTTCCGATCTTACATTTGTAGGAGAGCTGTCCCATGGCCACTTCAGTCCCAAAATGGTATGCTTGTTCTCAAAGAAAAACAAGCCCTCAGGCCCAGCAGAATCAAATAGCTCACATAGCCCCTTTTTTTCCACCTTTCTTGTTACTTTCAGGACCACTTGGTTTGTTTCCTGCCTGGCACACTTGCGCTGGGGGCACATTATGGCCTTCCTACGGATCACATGGAGCTGGCAAAACAGCTGATGGAGACTTGCTACCAGATGTACGCCCAGATGGAGACAGGTCTGAGCCCGGAGATAGCTCATTTCAACATGCATGAGGGCAGCACACAGGATGTAGATGTAAAGGTGAGCTCAGGAAGAGCTTTCAGTTGGCAGCTGTGAAATAGGCGTTTGTTTGTGAAATGAAATCGCCTTTGTGATCTCATAATGTCCTACAGATTGCAGACCGACACAACCTTCTGCGGCCAGAGACTGTAGAGAGCCTCTTCTACATGTACAGATTCACTGAGGATAAGAAGTACCAGCAGTGGGGCTGGGAGATCCTACAGAACTTCAATAAGTACACAAGGGTATGTGAGAGAGTGATGAAACTCTTCCACTGTCACCTTGAAATTTTTAGAACATGCAAAACTGTGGAAGGTACATGTTGTGCACTGTGTCCAAATTTACATGTTTTCCATTCTAAATGGTATGTGAGATTCAAATGAGTGCATTGCCAATCATAGTGTCTTGAAAATAGTTTTCAGATGGTGTACTGTTTCTGGTGTATTTTTGAAGTTTGTGCTTTTGCATGATTTTCAGATAATGTTGTCAACAGTCCCATTGCTCAACAGTTTAATTATTTATACTACTGTTCAAAAGTTTTGAGATCAGTACGTTTTTTTTAAATTAATTAAAAATTTTAATTGAATTACATTTGATTTAATTAATACTTTTATTTTAGCAAAAATTCATGAAATTAATCAAAAGTATTAGTAAATACATTTCTAATGTTACAAAAGGTATTTCAAATACATACTGTTCTTTTTAACTTTTTTTATTGATAATAAAATCTTGAAACAAATGTATCTTGGTTTTCAAAAAAATATTAAACAGCTCAATTGTTTTTAACATTGAAACTAAGTAATATTTCTTAAGCACAAATCGGCATAATAGAATGATTTCTGAAGGATCATGTGACACTGAAGACTGGAGTAATGTCTGCGGAAAATTCAGTGTTGCATCACAGGAATAAGTTACATTATAAAACAAAATTTTAAAAAAATGCTATTTTAAATGATAAGAAAATGCCAAAATATTACTGTTTTTACTGTACTTTTGATCAAATAAATGTAGCCTTGGTGAGCATAAGAAACCTCTGTCAAAAACATTTTTAAAAATCTTACCAATTTTTCTTTTTTTCCGGCATGAAACTTTCTTTTAAATTAATAAAATATTAAAAGGACATGGAAAAGTTTAATTCAGCAAATTTTTGTCTAGTTGTGCTCAGTTGTAAAGTGTTTCTTTCACTAAAACTCTTTGTGAATGTGATCTCTAAAGTTAAAAGTAAAGTGAAGTAAAAATCCTTATCCATTCATCATTGGTCAGAAAATGTGGAATTGAATGCAGGCATATTGTAAGAAAAATGTGAGCCTCAAGACTGTGTGATTGTTTTTCATTCTGGCCCAAAGCCAAACGTTGGTGCTTTGTCAGAACGAGACTCATGATATCATTGACTCACATCTGATTTTCATGTGTCAGATACGTTGCTACATGACTTCTCATATTTCTTGGTTTATTCGAACATTGCCTCGCTCCATTTCCAAATGTACTTGCACTTTCTCTGCTGTTCTGAACTTCACATTTAGCCTTCAGTTCATATCAACAGTTTACAAGAATGTTACCAAACAACCTTCAGTACAGACTCATGTGTTCAACTCCCCACAGGTTCCCACCGGAGGTTATACGTCCATAAACAATGTCCGTGACCCAGCCAATCCCAACCCTCGAGACAAGATGGAGAGCTTCTTCCTGGGTGAGACACTCAAATACTTCTACCTGCTGTTTTCTAATGACCCCAACCTTATCAGCTTAGACAAGTACATCTTCAACACTGAGGCCCATCCTCTGCCCATATGGCCACAAGCAGAGTGAAGGACCCACAAGCACACGTGCATAACCAAACACACCACTCTCAGGGCCATGAACACATTTGATATCCAAACTGCCATCTTTTTCTACACTAGGAACTCTTTGTAATTGAAAGTCACTAACTGGTAAAACAAAATTAAAACAGCCATGACAGAAACTGTTTGTAGATGTGTAGTTTCTGATTGTACTAGTAATCTGTATGTTTCTATTAATAGAGTTTCTTCATTTTTTTTACTCTATTGTTATGCTGTCGATCAGCTAGGCTGCTGAATTAGCCCATTGAATCAGTATGCGCAGTCTCTCAGCCCAAGCACATGGACAAAAATTGTTCATACTGTGAAACCTTATGGGGACTGCAAGCACTTTAATGGTGTGTTTTGAGGTTTTAGTGTGTGTGTTTTCTTATAATGAAAGAATTCTGTTGTTTCTGTTGTGGGGATTTAGGGAGTCTTTCACCGTCATCTGATGGTCTATTTAGCTTTGTAAAAAAAAAATTTCTTTACATTATAAGTTTTATTATGCGAACATTTGAAACATTCGGTATAGTTATCAGGCAGCATTGTATGAATTTTACCTTATCTCGTGTTCAAGCACATGCAAGGGGAAATGTTTGTGTTTTTATTATTTCAAATATTTCTTTTATTTTGAGTTTAAAACCCCAACCTTGCTGTGAGGGATTTGTAAAATTTAATTCCTGTGAATAGGAGAAATGTACTTTTTTTTTTGTTGTTGATCTTGGTGTTAGTTAGAGGGTTTATTTTATATATATATATATATATATATATATAAAAATGTGTTCTTTTGACGTTAAAACTCACTAGCAGGTGGACCATTATTATTTAGTTGCTGATTTTTATTTTCAATTTGGTCCCACTTGTTGTGATTGCAGTCAGAATTATGTATTTTAATAGAGCGTTAAATCAAGCACAATGTTTTTAAGGGTTTATATTATGGCAGTTTTCACTCTTTCAGGGGACCTACATCAGATGTGATTGTGTCAGTAGTAATTTTATGTGTGTATGAAGAACTTCATGGTATTGGTAGATTATTTTGTAAAATATGAAAAACTGGATTTTGTTTTCTTGGGGTGGTTTTCTTAGAAGAATCTTCAAATTTCCACATGTTTTCTTACAGGAAGAGAAGTTGAGTGTTTGCTATTCATTTTTCGCTACTTATTACAGATCAGTTTGTGGGCCTGAGCTTAAATAGAATAGAATGTAAAAAAAAAAAAGTAAACTTTTTTGACCATTAGTGAATATTCCTGCTGTTTACACAGATTACAGATGTACTATGTGCATTGTATTTGAAAAGCTTGGTTGAACATTACATCTCACTGTGCAGAATCTTACATTAATATCCTGTTCTTTTTGGTAGTATGTACATTAAAACCACTGTAGATGTTCATCAAGGGCTGAGCATTAACCGGTTTCTCGTTGTCGTGGTGTAGTGAGGTGTCCTGTTCCACGTGTGCCTTTACATACAGAGCAATGACAAATGTTGTCTATTTTCAATCCAGAGAATCAAGTTTTTAAGAGAATTCAATCTGTTTTAAACATCTCAGTCCTGTTGTGAAGCGATCTACAATTTGTTTTATGTGAATAAATACTTTTGTATTGATTATTTATAATACAGTGTGGAAGTGTTAAATTAACTTGCTATCTGTATTCTATTTCTGGGTATTTTATTTTCTCTCGTTGTGTGAGAAACTGAAGACAGCTAGACTCAATTGAGCTTGTGTATCTCAGATTTCAAACGAAGGGCTTTTCATGCCTCGCTCTTAATTGTTTGTGCAAATGTCTCAGAATATTAGATGCCTCATGCATATTGACAAATCAACATCATTTTGAATCATTCATACACCAAAGACATGAACTTCAAAAAATATTGTAAAACAGGAGTGATGAGACAAGTAATACGTGGTACAGCTGTACATATTCCTTGTAATGAAACATAAGAGTGAGTTTGTACATTTTGATTTTTTTTCTTTTTATTGATATATTTCTTGAATGTACCTTTTTAATGTCCATTTCTGTGAGAAATAAATGGATTTAATCAATATTTTACAAGTTTACAATGTTAATAATAAATTGTACATAAAAATGAACTCATGATGACGACTCCATTGCTGCCTTCACCCATTGAGAAATAATTTCAGACTCCTTCTTCCGAGCCACAATCACAGACTCAGGATCGTTAGGATTGGACTCCCTGAGGGGGGGAAACAAAACAAACAGAAGAATGATCAGATGACAGCCAAATATGCATTTTATTGTCTTCATTTCTCTCAAAGTTATACATAAGTTCTGAAAATTTGCACCTTAAATCCAGATGATGAGCTCCCTCTGGTATGTTGATTGCAATCAGTGATGGACTGAGTGACTTCCTGATCTACAGGTGAAAATAATTCCATCGTTTCACAGAGAAGCACAACAAAACACTTTTTCGCAAACCTCAACAGCAACCAATAACAAGGGAATTACTAAAGTGAATTATTCAGATCATCATATTTAGTGAGGGGTCTTTGCAACTTCAGGGATCTTATCTATGCACAATCAGCTTGTAACACTCCAAAGAGAAAGGAAAACTTGAAATCGCATCATATGACCCCTTTAAGTAAAACTGTCTTACCCCTCCATCAGCCCAAGGATCAAGATCACCATTGGAAAATATGATATTGCTTGCGGTGGAGAGATCTAGAAGAGAACATTCAAATGGATGCAACACTGAGCTCCCATTTCATTGCGAACATCCAATGAATATTAAAAGGACCAAAGACAAGCAGAACCTGATGTATAATCATGAGTTAAAACCTTTCCCTTTTTTAAAAAAAAAAGAAAGGCACTCTTTGGTAGTTACAGCTTACCGTCGCCCCAGTACTGGGTCTTCAGCCACCCTGGACGCGGCACCACCCCCCATCTCTTTGAGCAATACTGTTCTCTCTGCTGCTCGGTGAATGTCATAGGCGGGAACATGTCTGTCACATTGTTACTCTCGTAGCACATCTCGATCTCAGTGCAGGCCTAAAAAACAAATACATTTTTTATATACAATTACAAGTGAAAGAAAAGTCTATTCATACTATAATGACCCTAATACATCGGATTAAACTTTAAAACAAATTTCTTTACAGAAGTAATTTAATATGAATTTCTAAAAATCATAGTGTCAAGTATTTGGACTGAAGAACTTTGGAACCTGGAGACGATTTAGAATTTCTGGTTGTCAATGGTCTTTTTGGAATGGGTTTTTGGTTAATTGCCAGAGATAATGTTAACTGAAGAGTATCATAGTAAAGCTTTTACATGTCTTGGAAAAGGTGGTTGCTAACAATTAGCTAAGAGGTTTTCAGGAACATTATATATCATCACATGCTCTTGCAATCTATTCCAATTGGAATCATATTGCGACCATGTTGTTTGTTTATAGCCTACCTACGTTTAACTTTTTACTCGTGATGATTGTATTTAGGCTTCAAAATTCATAAATGTTCAATTTAAAGTTTATCTTGATGAACAATTTGTGTAAGAATCAAACATTTGTTGGGAGATTTTTTTCTGCAATAATCCAAAAGCCAATTGAAAAATCATATTGGAACCAGGGCGACGCAAACTTCTGTTGGCCTACAAAATGACGTCATCTCTGCAGCACTGTAGTCTCCAAATAAATCCGTTTTACTGAAGACTTGTGTTAAAATCTAATATTCGGGGTTTAGAGAGAAGTAATCAAGGTACCTGGTAATCCCATGCATAGCTGTCAAAGCCAAGGCCACAGCCGGTGGGGTCGGCACACTCCACATAGAGACTGTAGAGGTCATAACATGTGAGCTGGCCAGTGGAATTATACACAATGCCTGTGGGGCGGCACAAAATGAATGCAGAAGCCTTTTGAGCCTGGCCAGTACCAGAGGGATTTAAAAAAGAAACAGAAAATGAAATCTGTGCAAAGATGCTCTCATTTACCGACAGTATCTCGGAGTGCCGACATGAGATCAGTGCCATTCAGCATGGTTTCACACGCCACCTGTAAAAGTAAAAAGCATTGCGATTTATCTTTAAGACACACAATCACACCGGTTCAGTTCCAACTGCAGGAACTGCACTGCTAAGCCATTTTAAATGGAACCAGATGGGCTGGAATGGATTCATTTGCTATATGCATCAGGAAAACATTTGATTAACACCATTAGGTTTTGCATTATGCACTGCAGTATTTCAGTGGCAAGCTTTTATTTTTTTTATGCTATCCCCTTTCCATTTGGTGATGAGGTTGGCTGAATATTCATGCTAGTGACAAGTCCAATACCTTCACAGGGAAGGCTGGCATGCTGCCCATGAAATGAGTGCTGTAGGGATAATCCAACATGGCCATCATGGTGAAGGCGTTACGTAAGAGTCCAATCAGCTGATGAATGTCCTTTGGGGTGGACGGAGTTTTACACAGGGAGAAGGCAGACTGGATGCGTCTGTAGTCTATGAAGTATAAATGGGAAAACATGGAGAATGAAATCTATTTTTAAGAACAAAAGCATGCACAGACTGAACACGGTTATCCATTCTGAGTGAATGGCAATGGATACCTTTCTGTTGTGCCAAAGTGTTGAGCTTCTGGAAAGCTCCTTGCACTGCATCTCTGCAGGCAGGCTTAAACTTCTCAAAATCCTGAATAAGCAAACAGAACACATCAATATTATGCTAATACAAAATCATAAGCACTTTTATGTACAAAAAGTATTACATTTTAAAGGCATGCTTTAAAACAAAAGAAAGGGATTAAATATGAACATACAGCGGTAACATCCTGGAAAAACTGTCTAGAGTCTGTAAGACCTGCGGTGGACAGGATGGGAGCACTAGCGGCTAACGCCCCAGTCACAATATTCGGGTACCTTATTCTCATGTAAACGCTTAGCATTCCTCCATAGCTGAAAAAACAGACATAACATACACTACCGGTTACAACATGTTTAGAATAATGATTTTACATACAGTAGTCAACATTTGAAGTGGATCAAAACCTTTCATCTAAGTTGTCCTAAAACCTAAAATCATAATGCGTTCTTGTCTTAGGACAACTTTGATGAACTTTTTTGATCCACTTCAAATGTTGACTACTATATATA